TATATATATATATATATATATTATTTTAACCGAAAACATGTCAAAATCGCTACGCAACTGCAGTCGTGTTTCGATGCATATCATGCATGTCATCTGTAAATTACTTGCAAGTTAACGATTTATTTAGATTTAAAAGCAAAACACGAATTCTTTTACGAAAAAAGTGCGGTTATAAGTTTTGTGAGCTTTGCTCAACCAATCAAATATGACCTTCGTTATATTTAAACTTAGCGAAGAAGAAAAAAATTTTAAGAATATTTTTATAAACGGGTCATGACCCGTAGATTGGCAGCTAACGGCAGCCAGACATAAACAGGAGTGGATGTTAATGGATACATAAATTTTAAACACTAGACAATGCCATTACCTCAGAAATAAAAATGAGGTCGAGATGTAATTTAGCAAAATGCTAAACAAGTTATATGCTTTGTGAATTTCCTAGATAATTTTTTTATATACTTGATAAATAACGGTTAACCTTAGATGGCAACTGGTCTATAACCTTAGATGGCAACTGATCTACCGTAGAAAGAAATGGCAGCCTACAGCGGAAAAAAAAAACATCTGCCTCGTCAGTCATGTATCGAAAGATACATGATCGCCTAAGCATATATCACGCATGGCACATAACTGATGTTAGCTTCTTTAAGAAACTAGTTAATAATTTAGACGTATAGAATTATTTGGTAAATTAATATTGTGTTCAGTAAAGATTCTTCATATAAGATGTTAATAACATTAACTAATCAACGTAAAAGCGACGCTAAGAATAACTTTTTAGAAATTGATTCACTTAATTTATAAGTCCAGACAAATTTGAGATGTTCAGGTTAAGGAAATTTCAATCGAGTCAATTGCAATTAGCGAGTGTAGGATGAATGTATAGCGTCATATTTTGAACATACTGTAAAATTCAAATCCACTCCTTTATTCTAAAAAAACTAAAGGAAATAAAAGAAAACCCTTAAAAAGGGAGCTCTATTGGCATCACCAGCTATGCAACTTACTCAGCTTTTGATTGATTTTTTTTTTTTTTTTACGGGTTATCAACGAGTAATTTAAAGCTGAAAAATGTTTTGGTTGGTTAGAATTATTATTTTTGGCAAGTTATTATTGCTTTAACAATTCTTAGTAGAATAACAATGTTCTTTCCAGATGAAAATATACCAGTATTTAACCCATAGCTGGGGAGAGGAAAAGTGTACGCGGTTACTCAGTAAAGAAGCACTGATTGATTCTAAGTATGGCAGACTAAGAGGAAGCCGCCATGGTGTGTAGGCGGTCGCACTGAGTAGAAACGTGTACACAGGAGCATAGTTGTTTATTCCATCTTGTTGTTTGCCGGTGTCTTCATGATCTTTCTTATTGTCGAAAGTTGTTCTTTAGAAAAGAAACACGAGCGTTTTGAAGTAACTGCACGTCTGAGTTAGCTGACCCAAGGCTTTATGTTTACTTCTAAAACCTCATTGAATTTCTTTCTCTTTTACGTTTGACTCCTACGCTCCTCACACACACACACACACACACACACACACATATATATATATATATATATATATATATATATATATATATATATATATATATATATATATACAAAGAAAGAACAGTAAGATATATAATCCGGTGTTCTTATAGATATTTTTATTTTTACAAAATAGTGCTCTATGTAAATTTACAGAGCATTAATTTTAAATCAAATAAAAATATATATATATATATATATATATATATATATATATATATATATATATATATATATATATATATATATATATATATATATATATATATATATAGTAATGGATATCGCTTTGGATTGAGGAATATATATATATATATAGTAATGGATATCGGTTTGGATTGAGGAATCGGAGAGCCGAGTTCGAATTCCAGTCGGATATATTACATTCACTTACGTGCGAATACCCTTGGGAAAAGCGTGAATCCTCCTCTTCTCCCTACATCTATAGGTAAATAGCAGGTTCTATAGCCTTGGATGGTAACTGGTCTAGGAGAATGACAACTCTGAATTCAAACCTGGAGTGGATCCCCTAAGGCGGATGGACGGCACTCTGTACTACCTGCCGGCAACTCCTGCAGCCGCGCTCGTACCAAACTGTATTGGTTTATCCTCTCCTTTGGACACTGCTAGAGAGGGGGAACTAGACGTCCGGGCGGCCCTAGTTTTCCGTATAACCGGCCCAGGCTCGTAGTGCACCGCTCTACTCCATCGTCTCTCAAGACGGATAGATGCCAACGACAGGGAATATATATATATATATATAATGATAAACTTAGTGTTCAATGTGGATATTTCCAAAAGGATATAAGTCCAGGGAGAGCAAACAGAGTAAAAGAGTAATGGATAACGGCTCCGATTGAGGGATTCCTCTTCTTCTCCCCCGGCTATGGGTAAATAGCAGAACACACCGGGTTCTATAACCTTAGATGGCAACTGGTCTACCGTAGAAAGAAATCGCAGCCTACAGCGGAAAAAAACATCTGCCTCGTTAGTTATGTATCAAAAGATACATGATCGCTTAACATATATCACGCATGGCACATAATTGAACTAATGAAGTGTTAGTATTTATATATATTTTTTTAGAATATATATATATATATATATATATATATATATATATATATATATATATATATATATATATATTTAATTTCGATTATAGGTGCAATTATAATTTACAAATTCATGAATCATTCATAAAAAAACAAATATAGAAGTTAATGATTTAAATGGCGAGAATACATCTTCGCAAACAATTTCAATAAGGTACACTAACCCCGAACCTGTATATGAATGATATGATCCCTGTTTATAAATTCCAGTTTCATAAGGTCCTTTTTAGTTTTTACAAGCTTTCGTCTATTCCTACAGACATCCTCAGGTATGGAAATAGATTTTGTTCTTGTTTTTACTTCTCGGTAATAAGAGGACAACGAAAATAGAGATGTATTTTGTCCTCGAAGATGTATTCTCGCCATTTAAATCATTAACCTCTATATTTGTTTTTTTGTATGAATGATTCATATAATAATTATATATATATATATATATATATATATATATATATATATGATCCGTTGAAGATGGCTAATAAGGTATTGGGATTAAACTTTTATTATATTTTTCTTACATTCGTGCAAGTATATGTAAGGACTGTCCGAATGATCTGTTGATTCCAGCGCTTTCGGAAGGTCTGTGAACCATTAGCAACGATGTTTTTTTGTTTTGTTTTCTTAATATATAGATTTTGTATAGCAATAATTTTTATTTTTTACAGCAATAATTTTAATTTCCAGACACGGCCAGCAGGTTGTGGCCGTATTCTTAATTGATAGAGCTTCCCTAATTCATCTGCATTTTTCGGCGAAACTGAAATAATGTATGAGGTGTATAAATATATATATCTGTGTGTGTGTGTGTGTGTGTGTGTGTGTGTGTGTGTGTGCAGAATGCGATGAGTAAATTGTCGCCATTTTATAACTGAAATAATATATGGGGTATATATATATATATATATGTGTGTGTGTGTGTGTGTGTGTGTGTGTGTGTGTGTGTGTGTGAAAGAATATAGAAAATAGGAAGGAACTGGTTAGGTAAATAATCCAAAGTCCCTTAGTATTTTTGTTATTATTTTTAAAAAATAGTGCTCGATACAAAAGTAGAGCATAAACATAATTATTTATTTAAAAATATGATTCCAACTCGCGACATAAGAGGTCTCATGTTTCAAAACAAGAGCCGAAAACTTCAATATAGTTATTTGAATTAAATTGAGTTAAAATACGTTATTCCCAAAAAAATTTCGCTTGAAGATGGAACAGAGCTTATTTTAACTCAATTTAATTCAACTAGTTTTCGGCTCTTGTTTTGAAACATGAGACTTCTTATGTCGCGATTTAGAATCATATTTTAAATAATATATATATATATATATATATATATATATATATATATATATATATGCAGGATGCAAGAGTAAAATTGTCGCCAGTTTATATTTTCATGTCACGTAGGTGCGTTGTTTTTTTGTGGGGTGATTGTCGACTGCATAGTATAGTAGCATCAGTTGGGCAGGATCTGTCAGAAAAAGGACACCATGACGCCAGAAACGGCATGCTATACTATTTGGTGTCCACACGGGAAGCTCCAATATGAAGCAGAGGACAGTGCAGAGGATCCGGAAAGAGTTCGATGAGTCTAATGTTGATTACGATGGCACGAGCCTAGGAAAACGAACTCTGATCGTTCTGATAAGACAAGAACTCCCGAATTTGTCGGCGAGGGCTTCAGACTCAACACGGCAGCCTATATTAAGTGCTTGAGGTGGAAGAACAAATGGATGTCATACAATTTCTGAAACCGCATCACTCCTTACATCAGGCCACCTAACTCCCCAGGTTGCGACTCCCTTGATTATTATTTGTGGGGCACATTTGAGCGAGAGAAAACTCCTTGAAACACCAAAGATGAACTGAAGGCAAGAATTATGGCAGCATTGACCAACTTAAACAAGGAGACCGTCCAGAACAGATGCAGGAGATTCCGAAGTCGTCTGGAGGCCGTGGATAAAGCTAATAGTGACTAGATAGAATAAATTTACTCTTTGGTATTTCAAGATATTTTCGTGTCATTATGATAAATATATCTGTTAAAATGAGATGTCAGTGTTATTTTCATTTTTGTGTCATTTAGACGACAATTTATCCATCGCACACTATATATATATATATATATATATATATATATGTGTGTGTGTGTGTGTGTGTGTGTGTGTGTACGTGTGTGTGTTTTGGACTGTCCTGTCAAGGTGATAATGCCACTAAGACGCAAGTGTCTACTAGGAGTGAAAGCGAATAAAAAAACATTCAAATCAATCTCTTCCTCTTTTTATCTCCCACTCTTTCCCTCGTCATATTTCTCTATCTCTTTTTCTGTCTCTCCATCTTTCCCACTCTCCCTCTCCAATCTACATATGCCTCTTACCCTTTCTCACTCTATCTCTATCCTTCCTCCCCAAATTGTATATACATCTTACCCTTTCTCTCTCTCTCTCTCTCTCTCTCTCTCTCATATCTATCTATATATCTATCTGTCTATCACTTTTCCCTCCAATCTACATATCCCTCTCCGTCTTTCTGCCTCTCTCTCTCTCTCTCTCTCTCTCTATGTATCTAACTATCTCCTTTTCCTCCCCAATCTACGTATTCGCCTTTCCATTTCTCGCTCGCTCTCGCTGCATCTATCTATCTATCTATCTATCTATATATATATATATATATATATATATATATATATATATTTCTATTTTTTTTCTTTAACTCTTTCTTTAAATATCAGTGTGTTCATTATCTACCTATGCATCTCAATCTATCTCTATCTAATTATCTATCTATTTATATATCTCAGTCTGTTCATTATCTATCTATCTATCTATCTATCTATCTATCTATGTATCTCTATTCATATCTAATTATGTTCATAGTATATCTATCTATCTATCCCTTTCTATTCATATATAATTATGTTTATAGTATATCTATCTATCTATCTATCTATCTAATTATATTTATAGTATATCTATCTATCTATCTATCTATCTATCTATCTATCTATCTCAGGCTGTTCTATCTCTTTCTATTCATATCTAATTATGTTTATAGTACATCTATCTATCTATCTATCTATCTATTCAACATTTTCTTGATGATTTCTCGTTCTTCTCGCAACCAGCATACTCTCTTTATTTTGCCTCGAACAGATGGCTACGTATTAAACCATTCAAAATCTTTTCCTGTCGAATTAAATTCTCGCAAACCCGGTTTTCTTTCCCTTTGTCCTTGTCTCTATTTAAATACATCCGCCATTCCATACATATATATATATATATATATATATAGAGAGAGAGAGAGAGAGAGAGAGAGATCCCATTGTTTCCCTACATTTATCGATTGATGTGTCTTTAAGTCCATTTCTGTTTATTACTAAAATTCATATCAATCTATTCGTCTATCAATGTATTGATCCAATGAAAAAATTGCAAGGAAGGACATTCTAAACGCTTAGCTTCAGAACCGCATTTCAAAATACGCATGTATATCCTTCTCATACATCCAGTTTTCTTTATTTCGTGCCGTAGTTCGTTTGGTAAGTATCTTGATAGCATTTCGTACGGATATACTAACCATGGTTAGTTTGAATTGCATTATACTAATTCACAATCAAATGCATGTTTTAGAATGAAACGAAAATCAAACGATGTCCAAATAATAATATATAGATAGGAAGAAATCAAATTAAAACAGTGTGAAGGAAACGCTAGTGATTGGCTGTAGTGGATAGACATAGTAGAATTATCTACCTGGCGCCTTTAAAAACGTTTCACAAAGAAAATATCACTTCTTTTTTTCCTGCACCTTTGCTTAGGATCAAACCCCTTTTTTTTTTTAAATATCGTCACTCCAAGCAGGGGAATAAAGCCACTAAGTCGCAAGGTGGTCACTGTGAGTGAGAGAATATGAGAAAAGAAAAGATCACTAATGAGAGAGAACACTGAAAGAACAAGGATGTCGAGTGACGACAGTCTGTTTCATACTTGAACGCAAGCTTCGGTGTTGACCTCAGTGTCCACTCATATATATAAGTGTGTGTGTGTGTGTGTGTGTGTGTGTGTGTGTGTGTGTGTGTGTGTGTGTGTGTGCAAATATATAGAAAAATAGGAAAGAACACATTAGGTAAATAATCCGGAGTTCTTTAGTATTTTTGTTTTTATTTTTTAAAGAACAGTGCTCAATACAAAAGTAGAGCTTAAATTATAAATATTTAAAAAAAAAAAATATAATTTCTTCGCTACATAAGAGTTCTCATGTTTCAAAAACGAGAGCTAAAAACCTCAATATAATTATAAAAATTAAATTGAATTAAAGTATCAAGCTCTGTTTAGGCTTCCTAAATTTTCGCTTGAGGATGAAACAGAGCTTGATACTTTAATTCAATTTAATTTTGATAATTATATTGAGGTTTTGGCTCTCTTTTTTTGAAACATGAGAACTCTTATGTAGCGAAGGAATCATATTTTAAAATAAATATATATATATATATATATATATATATATATATATATATATATAATCCTAAAGAGCCAGGGACAAACTACCTAGGTTTTACCTAAATGGATCTTCAGGGTAATCTGGCTTAAGAGGAAATGACACAAAACAATATTTATTGATAATACCGATAAAAATTAATTAGCATAAAACCAAGTGACAGAAGAAGATATGGAAAAAAAACACAGAGCCTCTATTCCAATAACCAGGATTTCCTATGCCTAAACCTATTTAAAAGCTCAGATCTTTGATTTAATAAATTATTAGATTCATTAAAAGTGGCCATTGCTAATTTTTCCTCCATACATAATAAGCAATACTTGTCCCCTGTTTTATACTTATGGTATATTTTTAGTATTTCCCATTTTAAAATAGTGTCAATACAGTCTTCCTGGTTAATATTCCATATGGATGTAGACAGACTAGTGCTGTATTTGTAATTTCCATGCTTAAAGCTACTTAAAGGATTGTAGTAACGCTTTTTGCGAATGACCAGGTGTATCCGGGTCTTGGTACTAGTCCGTTGGTCCGTGGGATGAGCTTCCTGATCCTGGAGTTTCCTGAAGATGACCCCAACCCGAAAGCGTATATATATATATATGTATATATATACTCTGCGAATTTAAAATTGAAATTCGTAGGGGAAAATGGTCATTAACTAAAGGTATTGTGATTCCAATTGTAAAGAAAATTTGCTGTGTTTAATTAAAATAAATCTTGAGCGCTCTTTTGTGAGTCAGTTTAACATATTTCAAATTCTATATTTGTGTTAATAGGAATATGCTTGGATTATACCAACGATTACTATATATATATATATATATATATATATATATATATATGGGGGATAAGGGTAGTGTGTGTGTGTGAGAGAGAGAGAGAGAGAGAGAAACTTTTGCAGATTATTTAAAAGCCCAAAAACTGCTTTTAGATTGTACGACTTTTGGGGGGGGTGAGATAATGATTTTAGTGAGACGAGTTTTAATAATTAACCCATATCTGGGGGCAGAAGTGGTGGATTCATGCCTTTGCCAAGTGTATTTGCATATAAGTGACCTCAAACGGGTATTAAAACTCAGCTCTCCGATTAAAATTTTCTTGCCATTATCTATTACACCACCCGCACATCCAGTCTTACAGCCATTGGTATTCCCAAACGGTCACCCATCTAGCTACTGCCCAGGCTCGACCTTGCTTAACTTCGACGATCGTACGGGAGCCGGTGTTTCAAAGTGATCTGGACATACGCTGCGGCGTGCGTGTTGTGTGTGTGCATGTTTGTGTGTGTGTTGTGTGTGTGCGCGCGTGCGTGTGTGGGTGTGTGTTGTGTGTATGTGCATGTTTGCGTGTGTGTCGTGTGTGGGTGTGTTTTGTGTGCGCGCGCGTGGGTGTTGTGTGCGTACGCGCGTGTGTGTTTAGAGTGTGTGTGCGCGCTCACGCGTGCGTGTGTGTTTTGTGTGTGTACGTGTGTGTGTGTGTGTGCTCGCGCATGTGTGTTGTATGTGTGCGCGCTCGTGTGTGTGTTATATGTGTGATTTTTGTGTGCACGCGCATGCATGTGTGTGCGTTGTGTTTGCGTGTGTGCGTGTTTTGTGCATGAGTGCGCGCGCTTGCGTGTGCGTGTGTTTGTGTGTGCATGTGTGTGTGTGCATGTGTGTGTGTGTGTGTGCATGTTTGTGTGTGTGCATGTGTGTGTGCATGTGTGTGTGTTGTGTATGCGTGTGACTTGTGTGTGTCTGTGTGCGTGATAAAAAAAATACACTTTAGAAATCGAACGAAGACATCAGAACTAAAATTCTGAACCTGATCCATTTACTAAACGAAACAAATGTAATCCGGGTGCATCCGGGTCATTGTACTAGTCCGTTGGTCCGAGGGATGAGCTTCCCGACCCTGGAGCTTCCTGAAGATGACACACACACCCGACAGCGTATAAATCTGATTACCATATGAGTTTTTTTTTTGGTGGGGGGTTAAATCGTTCAACTTAAAAAAAATGACGAAACCAAATATCTTCAATTTCTACATTCTACTCGCCAGCGGCTGGATTTTGTTAATCGATACTAAAGATCCCGCTTCGATTTCAGTTGATTGATTAATAGATTTGCTATAATGCCCTTACTGATCATGAAAATGGAATTTGGGATTATTGTCCAGGAAAAAGGCACCTCGCAATTTAGACAGTCTATTGCCGGATGGATTGTCATCTTTGCCCCGAATATTAGCAGCGCTATTACTAAAGTTCGCGCCAGTTCACTACTGCTATTGATTTGGCCGCTGAAGATGGCAATAACATCTGCCAGGATGCGAAGAAATGGATGCGCTGTATTCCTGCCAACGTCTGTATTGGTTGAGCAAGAATTTTCTCCAAGAAGAGTCAGCCAGTACGTGTGCAGATATTTTAACATTTATATACGAGTATGTACTTTTCAAGAGTATAATGATACAAACCTGACAGAAAAGAATTCATACAGTACACATATTCACACACATAAACCATTTGTTTTATACACACACACATACACACACACACATACACACACATACATGCATATACATACATACATACATATATGTTTAAAGATATGGTTGGTGGTACAAAACTTCATCACTGCCATAAACAGACAAAGATTAATTCTATTATTACCGCTTATGATGATGATGATAAAAAGTAAAACTGAAAAACGGCCTAGGTAACCGGTTTCGAATCTCGCTCAACAGAGTTAAATCGAGGTTAATAAAGTCAATTATTTAAAAAAGAAAAATAAACAAAGTGTATTGGGGTAAAAAAAAATTAGATGGTAATTAATTGATCGGGGTTCGAAATCGGTTAGCTAGCTCGTTTTTCATTTTTACTTTTTATTATCATGAGTGGTAAAAATAAAATTAATTTTTGTCTGCTTATGGCTGTGATATCTATCTCTCTCTCTCTCTCTCTCTATATATATATATATATATATATATATATATATATATATATATATAAAAAGTGAACAAAAAGTTGTTTCATGCTATATGCAATCGTCAGGCCTGACGATTGCATCTAGCATGAAACAGACTGTCGCCTCTAAGTGGTGACTTTATGTTCACTTTTATATTTACACACGCTCTATCTCTGATATTGAGCACTTTATTCCATAAATATAGCACACCTTAAGACTATATTTCTTTATATATTATAAATTAATTGATTTAAAATATGGTTATTTTCGCTACACAGTTCCAACCATGTTTCAAAATTAGAAGCTAAAAACCCCTAATTTAATTTTGCAATTAAATTAAAAGCATTAGTTCCATTTCATATGAAACTAATGCTTTTAATTTAATTGCAAAATTAAATTAGGGGTTTTTAGCTTCTAAAAAAATATATATATATATGTGTGTGTGTGTGTGTGTTTCTAAATTACCTTATAGATCACTACTAAACTTTTTTCTTTCTAGGGTAACCAATAGCAACACTGATCATACAGAAAAAAAATAACATTAACATTTTCTATAAAAATCAAATACATGTTAAATATTAGCAGGATATATCTTCGCCTAGAAACAATTTACTAAAATATACAACGCCAGCAAACAAAAAGAAGAAAATGAAATAATCTTCTATAAAAATTTAAAACTGCTAACCTCACAATAATAATAAACAACAATTATTTACGAATTCACATGGGCCTTAAGGCGTTATGGTCCCGATTCATCCAAATTTATAAATAATTATATTAGATATACAACAACATGCTTAACAGGAAGACTCATGTTACATCTTTCTGACCATAGCTCATTTAGGACTCATTTAAAATACGCAGGGAGACTTACTAAAATTCATACATACTCATAGACAATGCAAATAAAATAGCCTCACCCACATGTAAAAAAAGTCTAAAAATAATGGAAGCATCGGGATGCTGAAGGTAGCCTCAATCAGATAAGTGGCAAAACATATTATTTATACATTATATATATATATATATATATATATATATATATATATATATATATAAAGAAATATTCATATAAATTATATATATATATTAGAAATATACATATCTTACATAAATTGGACAACTCTGAGTTTCATGCCGAAGCAATATTCATGTGCTTGTATGCTTACTCATATTAACCCCATATATATATATATATATATATATATATATATATATATATATATATATATATATATTCAATTAAAAAGACAATTTTAAGGGTCCGTTACAATTCATTTCCCCAGGGAATTTCTCATCAGGCCACACTTCCAAGGTTGGAAAAAAATCGTTTTTTTTTTTTTATTTTCACGCTTGGAAGTGTGGTCTGATGAGCCAGGGAAAAAGAAATTATCTGCGGAAATAAATTATAACCAACGGATCCGTAAATTTTATGTTTTAATTGAATTAATCGCTCTGATTTAACATTGAGCTCTCTGGATTTCATCCTCTTTGGGATTACCACGATTTTCATGACTTCAATATATATATATATATATATATAGATAGATAGATAGATAGATAGATAGATAGATAGATAGATAGATATTATTATTAAGCGTTGGCTTTTTTCGTTTTTATTAATAATTCTTCCATCATTTTTAGACTTTTTTGCATGCGGATGATGCCATTATTTTTATATTGTCAATATTTTCCCTTGGAAAAATCATGAAGAAATAAACAAATCCAGTCGACAAAAACAAAAAAAAATGAATTATCTACTTTAAAAATAAATTCATATATAATTATATTGGATATACAACAACATACCTAACAAGAAGACTCACATTACATCTTTCTAGCCATACCTCAATTAGGTCTCATTTAAAATAAACAGGGAGAATAACCGAAATTCATCTGCAACATATTAGAGTTGACAACACACATATAATGGTCTCATTCACTTGCAAAAAAAGGCTAAAAATATTGAAAGTATTATTAATAAAAAAACAAAAAAGCATCATCCACGAACACGGCCACAATATGCTGACTGTGTTTGGAAACAAAAGCATTCCTATAACTCTAGATAATACATTTTTAAAAAATCCATACTTTACGTTAAAATTAAAAATAAAACCTTCTTTGGTAATGACTAAAAGTATAGCCGAAAGCACTTGGACATACAGAATATTCAGACAAATCCTATATAATTTATGCCCAGAAAAACACAATCGTATATATATATATATATATATATATATATATATATATATATATATATATATATATATATATATATATATATATATATATATATATATATATATATATATTATTTTATATAGCGTGTATCTGTGAGGAAACAAAATGAATAAGAAGATGAAAAATAATTTCGTCCTCTGGTTGACATTCTCAAGGCAAATGTCAGGATTTATTTTGTTGCACGTGTTTATATACAAGAGCAAGGATGTCATTAAATTTGAGATCGTTCATGAATATTCATTAGGTGCTTGAAACGTCAGTTAGAACATATGGAGGACACAAAGTGCCATAATTCAAAGGTAAGCAAGTGATACTTCAGAAATATACGGGGTGCGATGGCCTCCAAACGATTTCAGAATCTCCTGTAACTCTTCTGGACGGTCTTTCTGTTTCAGTTGGAAAATTCTGTCATAATCATTGCCTTCGATTCATCTTTGGTATTACAAGGATTTTGTCGATCAACCTCAACCCACGCATAATAATCGAGTGGGCTACAGAGTTAGGTGTCCAGATGAAAGGGGTGATTGAGTCTGAGGCCCTGTAGGTAGATGAATGGAAGCATAACGCAGTTATCACTAGAACGACATTCGTAATCACCATTATAACGATGCAATCTTTTTTCAAATCCTCTGCACTGTCTTCACATTGGCACCCAAACCCTATAAAATGTCCGTATTGGAGCTTTCGGTGCGAATGCCAAGTAGTACAGTATGGCGTTTCCAAATTTCTGGCGGAGTGAATTACGTTATGGCGCTCTATTTCTTACAGACGATGCCGAACTGACCTTAGTATACTATTCAGTCGACAAAATCAAAAACAATCAACGCGCATGCGTGAAATTCAAAATATATAATGGCAACAATTTACCCATCGCATCTTGTATATATATATTTAAAGAGAGAGAGAGAGATATTAGAAATTTGGTATATTTATAGATAAACCGAGTTGAGTATCGGAGATCCAGCATTCATAAATCCCATATGGATATTATTACCCACAATGTTTCTCTGTATCCCTCCATGCACCCTCTCTCTCTCTTTCATCTCTCTCCCTCTCACTCAGTCTCTCTCTCTCTCTCTCTCTCTGTATATATATATATATATATATATATATATATATATATATATAATTGTGCATTTGGACAACAATCCTTTTTTATAATACATAATTTACGTACAGAAAAGAAGTAAATTATAAGAATAAAAGAAAATTCAAATAAAAATCGCATTTCCTTGTCAGTCTCTTTTAGGGAAACTTTATATATATATATATATATATATATATATATATATATATATATATATATATATAAATCCCAAGAGGATAGAATCCAGGTAGAACTTAATTGCAGGACAGAGTAAGAATATCATATAAAGGCTCAAACACTAATATTCCATGGTTATATTTATTACATTGGAATCGTAATCACGATCCAATTTATCACACCTACAAATTCAATTTTTTAATTTGTAGGTCTGCTGATTTGGATCGTGATTACGATTCCAATGTTATAAATTATGACCATCAAATGTTAGTGTTTGAGCCTTTTTACATATATATATATATATATATATATATATATATATATATATAATTATTTATTTAAAATATGATTCCATCGCTACATAAGAGTTCTCATGTTTCTAAACAAGAGCCGAAAACTTCAGTATAATTACTTGAATTAAATTGAATTAAAGTACCAAGCTCTGTTCCATCTTCAAGCGAAATTTTTTTTGGAATAACTAATTCCTGAAATTTACGCGTTCTTATAAGCATATTCATTATTAAAATTAAAATTACTATGGTAACGGCTAGAGCAATTATTTATAGAAAAGGGGTGTAAGGGTTAATAATTTGTATCAATATCTCAGTTACATTTAAAGACGTCAAGTCAGGGTAAGGTTGGGGTGTGTAAATTCAACGCGGAAGATGATATTTTTTATAAATCCTCATCCACATATAAAAAAAAGATTAAAAATAATGGAAGCTTTAATAATGGAAAAGAAACAACCAACACTTGACAATATTAACTGCGAACACGGTCACAATGTGCTAACAGTATTCGTTAAAACATCTCAAAAACTCTAGAAACATACACACAACCCATACAGCGAATGTAAAATCAAAAATAAAATCATCCTTAATAATGGCTAAAAGTATAGGCAAAAACATTTGGACAGTTACTACTCTGTGTTCAAAAAAGAAAACACTTGTTCGAACAAAAGAAAAATTAAATAAAAGGCTTAATCACAGTACCTTGTCTGTCGTCTTTAATGAAATATATATATATATATATATATATATATATATATATATATATACGGGAGAGTCCACCATATATATGTATTCGACGGATGAGGGTCAAGCAGCTCAGTTCCTGGGAATCGACAGCCAGACAACAGCACATGAGATTTGATTATAGTGGTGAAGGCTTTGTGCAGAACCATCCACACTTTTTGAAAGAGACAACTACAGAGACCTGTTGCACAACGGGCCACAAGGTCCCCCAAACGACCCTCCGCAGGTTTTGAATTCAGAGTTGTCCTTCTCCTAGACTAGTTGCCATAACAAGGCTATAGAACCCAGTCTGTCCTGCTATTTACCCATAGCTGGAGGGAGAAGAAGAGGATTCAAACCTTTCCCAAGGGTATTAGCACGTAAGTGAATGTAATGGATTCGATTTAAAATATATATATATATATATATATATATATATATATATATATATCTGAGATGAGGTATTATGTACAGTATTTAAATTCGTCGGACTATTGTCCTCATCTTTGTCGCCATATTTGTCACAACTTTTCGGCCGTTGTATGCTCCGGCCTTCTTCAGGTGGTTGGAATGTCAAACTGAACCCTTTATTTCGATCACTGGGGTAGACTGTTCTAGTTCCACATGCCATGTTTATGGATGTCAGTTATCAGTTATCTCCTGCTAATTTTCCCTCTGAAAGTTCTGCCTTAAATGTGAATGTAATTTCTATGCTTGGTCGGCCACAAAAATCTCCTGAGCCGACCAAGCATAGAAATAAATACAATATGGGAACCAGTAATAAGGAGTGCCAGAGAAAAGCAATGATAACAACAAAGTTGCAATATGAGCTCTGGTAAAAACATGGAATGATAACAGCAAAATTGCAATATGAGCACTGGTAAAAAATGGTTGCTGAAAACATTAGGTTTATAATACCCAGAAATTCATACCCAGATGTCCTCAAGGACAGATGGCACAGTGGATAAAGGCTTTGGTTAGATCCAGTGACAGACCATGAGTTCAATACCCAGTTAAGGCAGTGGAGAACTTTCGGAGGGAAAATTAGCAGGAGATAACTGATAACTGGCATCCATTAGACATGGCACGTGGAACTAGAACAGTCTACCCCAGTGATCGAAATAAACGGTTCAGTTCGAAATTCCAACCATCTGAAGAAATCCAGAGCGTACAACGGCCGAAACGTTGTGACAAATATGGCGACAACAGTCCGACTAATGTAAATATATATATATATATATATATATATATATATATATATATTAAGAAAGAACAGTAAGATATATTACCCGGTGTTCTTATTGATACTTTTTATTTTTATATTTACAAAGCAGTGCTCAATGTAAATTTACAGAGCATAAATATTATAAATTAACTGATTTAAAATTTGTTTTTTCCGCTAGACAGTAATAATCATGTTTCAAAACTGAAGCTAAAAACTTCAAATTTAATTATATAATTAAATGTCATAACTAAATTAAAAGCATTATTTCTGTTTTATCTTATATAATTAAATTTGAAGTTGTAGCTTCAATTTTTGAAACATTGTTATTACTGTGTAGCGAAAAAAAACATATTTTAAATCAGTTAATTTATTATATATATATATATATATATATATAAGCAAGTGTAAATGGATTATTATATTATTATATATATATATATATATATATATATATATATATATATATATATATATATATAGCAAATCACTGTACAGAAAAAACAAAAAACAAATACAAACTTGCTAAGTAACCAAAGAATATGAATAACAATAAATCAACCACCCGCCTAAAAAAAAAAAAACAAATCAAGAAATCGTAGACAAGCACATACGTAAACGACAATGCTCTGTGTTGAAATGAGTTTACGACACGATCCAAAAATTGATAAAGATCATAGCGCTACTAAACTTTCACGTTACAGTCGACGTTCCGGTTGGCTGGCGAACGCGATATTGTGAACAGTTAGTGGTCTGAACTTTGTCTCTGTTGAGCATATATATATATATATATATATATATATATATATATATATATATATATATATATATAAAAGGTTCAAACAATACATTTTTCAAAAAGAAATCGGAAAATATTTTCCGATTTCTTTTTAAATTTGTAGTTCTGATGTATTGGATCGTGATTACGATTCTGATGTAATAAATTATAACAATGGAATATTAGAGCTTGGGCCTTTTATATTATATTCTTAATCTGTCCTGGGCATTCAGCTCTACCTGGATTCTCTCCTCTTAGAAATATATATATATATATATATATATATATATATATATATATATATATATTGAGCACTAATATATATATATATATATATATATATATATATATATATATATATATATATATATATTTCATTGATGCATGTTTCATTAAACAATATAGTTTTAAATTTATTTTAAGTAAGTTCCTTTCATATTGTCTGATAATCTTAATAACATTATCGTTTTCACTCTCACGTGGCCATGGGTGACGTCACGAACTGCGACGCGATTTTCACTACCGCGTCTCATATACACGAGTTCGTCGTTGCTTTGAAATTTTTCATGCAACAAAAACAGACTATTATTATTGTTTCGTCCCGTGTATTGGTTGATATATTGAAAAGTAATTGTCATCTTTGTTAAGGGCTTATGCAAGCCGAAAGCTTAGATTGAATTTAAACATGTATCAATATTGTGATTTCTTTTCGTCTTTCAATGATAATGTTATTAAGCTTATCAGACAATATGAAACTTACTTAAAATAAATAGACAAAACTTATCAATATTGATAATGAAACATATATTTATTGAGCACTATTTTGTAAAAAATAAAAATATCATTATTTACATTAATCGAACTATTGCCCTCTCTTTGTCGACATATTTATCACAACTCTCCGGCCTTCTTCAGGTGGTTGGAATGTCGAACTGACCCCTTTATTTCTCTCACTGGCGTAGACTGTTTTAGTTCCACGTGTTATGCTTGATGGATGTTAGTTTTCAGTCATTTCCTGTTAATTTCCTGCCTTAAACGGGTATTGAACTCACACTCTTTGGGTCCTGTCACTGAATCTAACCAACGTCTTTATCCACTGTGCCATGTGTCCTTGAAGACATCTGGCAATGAATTTCTGAGTATTATAAACCTAATGTCTTCAGCTACCATTTTTACAAGAGCTCATATTGGTCTGTGAATTTAGAGACATAGCAATTATAAGTTCAATTCTTGGGCTGGATTCTGCTGACTTAGACTCAAAGAACATTTCTCCCTTATAAATTAAATAAAAGGCATAGTTTGAAATTCCCTGAAGCTTTTCCAGATTGACATATGTCAGCCGATTTCAGGAAATAAACATGGTAAGAACATCTACACAAACTTCATCGTATCAATCTTCAGAAACGCCAACATCAGATTGACTACTCTAGTTTCAGCTCAAAATTCAAACAAATATCACCTGAAGAAGGCCAGAGTCTAAAACGGCCGAAACGTTGTCAGTGTGACAATAAAGATGAGGACAACAGACACAATCTCAGAAATATAGACAAATGATATCTAAAACTTGAGAAGGTGCAGTTATAAGCCACTTTATCTCTAAATATAAATAGTTCTGCGCGCGAGTGCGTGGTGGATATGCGCAATGTGCTTACATCAGTAAATGGACAGAAAGCTTCGTTAGGTCTTTGCTCGCGTTTTGATTAGAGATGAGTTGAATAAAATGGCGGGTATTTAAGTCACAAAGGATTCAGAGAGGAGGAACTATTGATGAGAAAGAATGAACTAAAGCATGTAGATTATTTGGGAGGTAGCTTGGTGCACGAAAGAAAGAAAGAAAGAAAAAAAGAAAGAAAGAAAGGTCTAGGGTGGGTAGCTAGAATCTTGTTTTATAAACAAATGATGAAAAGTAGATAGATATAACTAGACTAAATTGATAGATAAATAGACAGATATGAACAGAATGAATATATATATATATATATATATACATATAGAGAGAGAGAGATAGATAGATAGATAGATAGAAACGAAAAGAGACAGATATGAATAGAATGAGATAGATTGAGAGAGAGAGAAAGAGAGAGAGAAAGAGAGAGAGAAAGATGAACAGACGGTGGAAGATAGAGAAATAGAAAGAGTGATGTAGACGATGGCAGATAGATAGATAGATAAAAACAAACGAAAATAGACAGATATGAATATAATGAGATAGATAGATAGATAGATAGATAGAGAGAGAGAGAGAGAGAGAGAGAGATGAACAGACGGTGGAAGATAGATAGAAAAAGCGATGTAGAAACGATGGCAGATAGGTAGATTTGAGCAAAGTGAGATAGATAGATAGATAGATAGATAGATAGATAGATAGATAGATAGATGTGAGTAGAGTGAGATAGATAGAGAGAGAGAGAGAGAGAGAGAGAGAAATATAGAGAGAGTAACGTATGTACAGACGATGTCAGATAGATAGATAGATAGATAGATAGAAAGATAGATAGATAGATGTGAGTAGAGTGAGATAGATAGATAAATAGATAGAGAGAGAGAGAAACAGAGAGAGAGTAAGGTATATACAGACGATGTCAGATAGATAGATACATAGATAGATGTGAGTAGAGTGAGATAGATAGAGAGAGAGAGAGAGAAATAGAGAGAGAGTAACGTATGTACAGACGATGTCAGATAGATAGATAGATAGATAGATAGATAGATAGATAGATAGATAGATAGATAGATAGATAGATGAAACGAAAAAAGAATGAAATGAATTTAATTTAGGTCCAGAAAAAATGGAACGAAAAATGCAATACGAAAAAAAAAACCCAAGAAGAGTAGAATTAACCATTACAACAGAGAAAATAAAACGTAAAAAAATATTGAAAGAAAAAAAGTAACTTGACAAAAAACAAATATTATTGATGCAGAATAAGTCAACCTGATTGTATGAAAAATTATAACCGGAAAAAGGGAAGTAAATTAAAACGAAAGGGAGGCTAAAAAGAAAGATTCTAAGCAAAACTAACTCAATTTTGAAGAACAGCAAGATCGAGAGAATTTCTTTTCAGCGTTTTGTTATAAAAGCAAATTGGAAAAAAATTCTCGTCTTCCTATTTTTACGATTTATCTCGAGATTACATTATCTTCATTTTATTTTTCAGTTTCTTTATCTTTTTCATTCTGTTTTTTTTTATTCTTTTGTTAAAAACCCTAAATTTATATTCCTGCATTCAACACTTCCTTTTACTTTGTTGATTTCATTTGTCTATTTAATTTAGCTTTGCTTGCCTCTTGTGTATTATCAGTACTTAGAGTTCTAGTTAATTTTGAGGGCAGAAGATGTGATTGCGCATGTATGCCCTTTATTTCATATAGATGAAGCATGAAGGTGTGTGTGTGTGTGCGTACTTTGATGAAAGTTTGAATTAATTAAAAGTATTATATATATATATATATATATATATATATATATATATATATATATATATTTTATTTATACACGTTTCATTAAATAATATAGACAAGTGTTGTCTATTTATTTTATGTAAAAATTTTTCGTATCTTCTGATAAGTTTGATAACATTATCATTAAACGAAGAAAGAAAATTCACAATATTTATCCATTATTTTAATATAATCTAAGCTTTCGGCTTACTTAAGCCATTATCAAAGATATAAATCACAAACATATTAAACAATATACGGACACGACAGTGATGATAGTCTGTCATTGTTTACATAGTGGATCACTAAGCAACGATAAACCCGCGCATATAAGACGCTAGAAGCGAAAATCGCACCGCATCTCATGACCGGTTAGCGATTTGCAAAAAACCAACATAGTTTATAAATTCAAGTGCCCTTTGGGAGAGTGTATCTCCAACGAATTAAATAATATTTATGTTGGTTACACCACAAACTCGCTTTCACGACGCTTGACACTACATTTTAATGAATCTCTAACATTTTTAGGCATTTAAAACAACATGCCTGCCCGCACACAATTCCGTAAAATACTTGTCGAAAACACAACTATACTTCGACATGAAAACAATAGACAAAAACTAAAAATACTTGAAGCATTATACATCAAACAGTTAAAACCCAACCTAAACAAAATCAATTATGGCATGTCTACAAATATTCTTAAATGTCTATAATTTCTATAATTGGTAACAGAAGCCATTGGTTTATACCAACGGCTTTCCTTATTTCATTCTACAATTCACTCTCGTGTAGTCATGTGTGACCTCATGAGATGCGGTGCGATTTTCGCTTCTAGCGTCTTATATGCGCGGGTTTATCGTTGCTTAGTGATCCACTATGTAAACAATGACAGACTATCATCACTGTCGTGTCCGTATATTGTTTAATATGTTTGTGATTTATATCTTTGATAATGGCTTAAGTAAGCCGAAAGCTTAGATTATATTAAAAATAATGGATAAATATTGTGAATTTCTTTCTTCGTTTAATGATAATGTTGTCAAACTTATCAGAAGATACGAAAAAATTTTACATAAAATAAATAGACAACACTTGTCTATATTATTTAATGAAACGTATATATATATATATATATATATATATATATATATATATATATATATATTTGTTTGAATAAAAGACAGACCACGTTAAGATTCCATGTAATAAGCTATTTCACCATAACCCCTTTAACAGGGTTCTGGATCATCAGACTTTACTTCCAAAAGCTGAAATGAAAAATGAAAAGAAATTCACACGTTTTTACGGACCTCATCAAGTATACGCAAAGTTAACGAAGTGAGGAAGTGAGGTGGGAGAGGAGGAGTGTGTCATATGTATCATTTTAGTTTCCTATTTTAACCCCAGTGTGTCGGCTGGATGTTGCTCAAATCCAACGCGTCTCGTCTCTAGATAAAGGTGGTTAAGGGGTGGGCGATAAGGGATACATTAAGGAAGACGCGTTACAACAGCCCCAATAAATTACACGACAGGTTTCATTCAAATTCCTAGATGCTGTCAGTTCGCGTTACTTTAACTTGCATATTTGGGAGGTTAAGGTTTGATAAATATCTACAATTTTAAAACAATCTACGAAGAAATTAATTTGAAATTCGGTGGAGTTTTGGGTATTTCCTATGAAACAATCGATTGGAAAAATCCATAGACAGAACATTGAAAGAGTAATCCAATTTATATTTAGTACTTTTTCCACTAAAGCTTTTATCTTATAGCTTGTTAGGTTGACATTTATTCGTTTGATTTTTGTTCATTAAGTAAACCTGTGATTGTTTTTGATTTTTGTTCATTAAGTAAAATCGTGGTTGTTTTTAGGCCCTTCTTTTATATTTTCTTATCTACACATGTCTTAAAACCCCTATTTGTAACCACATACCTATATCGTCTTATATGCCTATGAGTTCCTATATACACCTACACATACATTTCCCACGAAACGATATATGTATATTTCCATCTTTACACACACACACCTGCAGAGAGAACGCACATCCACATGTCTCCATACTTGTCTCCATGTATACTTATACTTACATATATATATATATATATATATATATATATATATACACACACGGACATCTGCATACCCATATATACTCATACGCACATATATATATCTACACATCCATACGTATATACATATATACATACATACACACACCCATATATGCATACGTACATACATATATATACACACACACACATATGCATACGCAATCTGCAGAATATCTATATACCCACAATTTGCACTTACATATATCTCTACCTACGTATTTGTCCCTATCCTCATGTCCACCCGTGCATCCACTTATGCCTGCGTTCGAAGACTATCTCAGTATTTAATTACATTATCTATATCTTTACACATATAATATTACCCGATCTTTCATATTTATGGCAAAACATATAAGCACCTAACTAACTGTACATCTCCACACTCACAAAAAAAAAAAAAACAAACCGGTATGTTTTTTTTTCCGTATAAAAAAACATATACATGTACATATCAACAGGTGTCTCAGTGTGCAAAAACACATTATCATGGTTGTATACATACAGTCATGTGTTAGCGTTCACTTGTGCATAGTAATATTTTAAAAACAAAGGAATATAAAACATTCAAAATTGCTGTTCCTATATGATTATTTCTTAGTGTACTTACTTAGGTTTAGGTTGTTTTGTGTCGGCATTTAAAAACACTAGTTCATTATGTTTATTTAGCAGTATGTCTGGATCTTTATGTTTGATTATGAAGATTTTCTCCTTCAAACATAAGTTGCATCTGTCTCTGAAGTTTTTGGGAGTTCTGGCTCTTGATTATTATTCTCCACTTTATTTGTGGTGTTAGGCCACTCTCCAACAAAACCAATAATGATTTGATAGTGCTGTTTTTTTTTTTTACATTTATTTTGAAGGATTGGCGATGGTTGTATAGTCGGTGTTTCCAATCTCCCGCTGATATTCCAATGTATATCTTTTTTCTTCAACCTTTTCTTTGGGGAAAATTGTTGCTTCATATATTGTGTTCTCTGCCATGCATATTCCTTCAACTGGGCAGGGTTGATCCTGTCCTGCAGTTGCATGTTGATTTTTCCATTCGTGTTCCTGATCTTGTCTTAGATTATCCTGAAGGTCTTTTAAAATTTTACTGTTGTGTGAGCTAATAATTCTTTCCATATTGTTCATGCAAGAATAG